GGGGGAGCACTGATTAAGATGACTCCAAGAACGCCTGGGAGAGCCCAAGATGACCTCCAAGATGGCTCAAGATATCCCAAGATGTCTCATAATGGCTTCCTCTGTGTGCTGCCCACTTGCCTGATCCAGGCAATTCCTCTCGGCATCGGTGGGGATTCGCGAAGCATCAACAATTTCCCATTGGAATCCTATTGGCACCATTCCCACTTGGATCCTGTTGGCACCGCGTCAGTCCCATTGGTATCCAACAAGATTCCTCGCTGTGGGGCCTACGTGTCCAATTGGAATCCGATAGGGGTGCTTCCTATTGAAACCCGTCGGGGTCCTTCGTAATGGAAACCGATTGGAAACCCCATTGGATTACAATCGAGGAGCCTTCCAATTGGAATGCTGCGGGAACGCGCTGGGGTAGCATATGGAAACCCGGTAGGGATTATTGTCTTTTCATTCGGATACATGTATCTTGAAATCCCATCGGAACCATATTGGCGAATGCGAAGGATATCGCATTGGAATCCCATCGTAATATTGTCTTTTGTTCGATTCATGCGGGCAAACTACTGGGATCCCATCAGGACCCAACCGCGACCCAACAAGAACGTGTCCTCGTTGAATCAAGCAGTGCCCCGGTTGGCGCCCTATTGTCATCCTTGCGGTGCCCATAAGGTACTATTGGAACCCGATTGAGATCCAATCGGAATCCTCCCGCTACGGGCTGGTGCCAAGCCTGGGCGGTGCAAGATTTTTCGGAAACGAAGCAGCCATGCCCTAAACCTACATATTTTCGGAGCCTCGCTACCTCTGCCTGAAATTCTTGCTCCTTTTGGTAATAGAATGACAGTGAGTGCTCGCCGCAAGAGACGCAGAGGAGCACGCGCGCCCCCAGGAGAGCGGAACGTGGCCAAGAAGTCTTTGGCACAATGTTTAACTTGACATGCGAGCTGTTTGTTGTTGCACCATTGACATCTTGTACCCTCGCGCCTCATCGTCTGGCAACGGCGCGGCCGTATGTGTTCGCATGCGCTGAAGCATGATGCATGTGGGTTTTGACGTGTTTTGGCCTCGCAGACAATTTGTGTCCTCGCGCCCCGTCGTCTGGCACTCGCAAAACCGCACGTTTTCGCACGCGCGGTTGCACGCGTGCCCAACGAGGGCGGAAAAGGTGGAACAGCAACCGATGGAAACATTGGAGCCGATACATGTGAATGCCGAAATGTGCCTGTTGCATCCTTACGCACATTTGCCCTCGCGCCTCATCGCCTGGCAATTGCGGAAGCATGCGCGCCCAAGAGGGCGGACATGTGGCCAGGTAGTCGATGGTAACATTCGAACCGCTACGTGTGGATGTAACTTGAATGTTCTGGCCCTCGCAGACAACGCGTGCCTTCGCTCCTCATCGCCCGGCAACGGCAAAACCGAAAGTGTTCGCATTCGCGGAAGCATGCGAAACCAGGGAGGCGAACATGTGCCCAAAACATCATTTACACAGTGATAGCCAACGCGTGTGGATGTCAAATCGTTGCATTCGTTTCGCATCATAGGCCACGATTGCTCTCACGCCCCATCGTCTGGCAACAACAAACGCATATTTCCGCAAGTGCGGAATCATGCGTACCCAGGAGGGCGGAAATCTCAAGAAATCGCTGGTCTGCCAATGCGTGCGGACTTCGATTTTAATCGCTTGGCCTCGCAAGCAGTTTTTGATCTCGCGCCTCACAACATGGCGGTAGCAATACCTGCTGTTTCCGCATTCGCGGAAGCATGCGTAACCAGCAGGGCAGACATGTGGTCAACAAATCGTGGGCATAATTCCCGCAAGAGGCTCTCAGGCGCTCAATGGCGACCGCTTGATCGCCCCGGCACTCAGGAGCCTGCAAAACGCTCGGGCGCGCAGAGGCCTCTGCAGGGCGCTCCGGCGCTCAGAAGCCTCTGCAGAGCTCCCAGGCGCTCAAATGCCTCTGCAGTACGCTCAGGCGCTCAGAAGCCTCTGCAGAACGCCCAAGCACTCAGAGGCTCCTGCAGAGCGCCCGGGCACTCAGAAGCCTCTGCGAAGTGCCGGGCGCTAAGAAGCCACTGCAGGGCGCTCAGGCGGCCACGATCCTCTGAAGAGCGCCCGGGCGCTTAAGAGTTTCTGCAGAGCGCCCAGGAGCTCAGAAGCCTCTGCAGAGCTTCCAGGCTTTCAAAAATGGTGGCAAAGCGCCCAGGCGACAACAATCCTCTGCAGAGCGCTCAAGCGCTCAGAAGCCTCTGCAGAGCGCTCAGGCGGTCAGAAGTCTCTGCAGAGCGTCCAGGCGCTCAGAAGCCTCTGCAGAACCCTATGGCGCTCAGATGCCAGAGCGCTCAGGCGCTCGGAAGCCGGTGCAGGGCACTCAGGCGCTCAGAAGCCTTTGCAGAGCTCTCGGGCGCTCAGAAGCATTTGCAGAACGCCCGCCCAGGCACTCAAAGGCCTCTGCAGAACGTTCACGCGCTCAAAGCCTCTGCCAAGCGCTCAGGCATTCAGAAGCATCTGCAAAGCGCTCAGGCGATCACATGCCTCTGCAGAGCGCCCAGGCGCTCGGATGCCTCTGCAAAGCGCCCAGGCGCTCAAATGTTCTTTTCTTCCAGAGCGCCCCAGCGCTCAAGCGCCTTTGCAAAGCGCCCGCGCGCTCAGTAGCCTCTTCAGAACGCTCTGGCGCTCAAGCGCCTCTGCAGAGCGCTCAGGCGCTCGGAAGCTTCTGCAGAACGCCCAGGCGCTCAGAAGCCTTTTTGCAAGACGCTCAGGCGCTCAGAAACCTCAGCAGAGCGCTCAGAAGCATCTGCAGAGCGCTCGGGCGCTAAGAAGCCTCCGCAGAGCGCTCAAGCGCTCAGAAGCTTATGCACAGCGCCCGCGCGCTCAGAAGCCTCCTCAGAACCCTATGGCGTTCAGAAGCCTCTGCAGAGCGCTCAGGCGCACAGAAGTCTCTGCAAAGCGCCCAGGCGCTCATAAGCCTGTGCAGAGCGCCCGCGCGTTCAGAGCAGAGCGCTCAGGCGCTCGGAAGCCTCTGCAAAGCTTCCAGGCGCTCAGGAGCCTTTGCACAGCGCCCAGGCACCCAGAAGCCTCTGCACAGCGTCCAGGCGCTCAGGACTCTGCAGGGCGCTCGGGCGCTCAGAAGCTTCTGCAGAACGCTCAGCCGCTGTGAAGTCTCTGCAAAGCGATCAGGCGCCAAGAAGCATCTGCAAAGCGCTCGGGCAATCAGATGCTCTTGCAGAATGCCCAGGCGCTCAGAAGCCTCAGGCGCCTCTGCAGAGTGCGCACGCGCTTTTGAAGACTGGTTGAAATCTGGTTGCAAAAAGCCCCGTCTGGGTTGTAAAGTGGTCGCTCTGGTTGTAAAGTGGGTTGCTCTGTTTGCAAGATGGTCGTTCTCAACGGAAAACCATGGATTCCGATCCTTTGCTGGTTGTAAGGTGACCGATCTCGGTTGTAAAGTGTCTTTCTGGTTGTAAAGAGACCGAATCTCCGAACCTACTCCTACCCCCCACGATTTCCGAGGGGGAGGGTGGGGCTCACTTCGTCGCTCTCGGGCGGGGGCACAACGCCGACTCCAGCTCGCTGCCCCCCACCCTGTGCCAGTTCCCCCCTCCTTTTGCTCCTCCTCCTCCTCCTCCTCCGCCTCCTCCGCCTCCTCCACCTCCTCCTCCTCCCCCGCCTCCTCCACCCCCTCCTTCCTCATCCACCTCCCCCCCCCCCGCCGTTGCTACTTTGATGGGTGGGTCGAGCATCGGATCTGCGAGAAGATGCGTCAGACTTTGCGCAAGGAAGAAATCCTTGGACCCCCCAAAGAGGTTCCTTGTCGCCGTTGCCAGGTTCCCCTCGATGTCCTGCCCAAGACGCCGCCGAAGAGAGGTCCACGGACCGATTTTACATGCGCGAACCACAAGAAGCCCCAAAGATCCAACGTATGCGTGTGCGTGTGCGTGTGCGTGCGCGTCGGGGTGCGTGTGCGTGTGCGTGTGCGTGTGCGTGTGTTTGTGTGTTTGTTTGTGTTGGTGCTGGTGTTGGTGTTTGTGCCTGTGTTGTGTTGATGTTTGTGTCTGTGTTTGTGTTTGTGTGTTTGTGTGCTTGTGTTTGTGTGTTTGTGTGTTTGTGTGCTTGTGTTTGTGCTTGCGCTTGTGCTTGTGCTTGTGCTTGTGCTTGTGCGTGTGTGTGTGTGTGTGTGTTTGTGTGTGAGTGTGTGTGTGTGTGTGAAAAAAAACGGGGGTCTCGGCCACACTCCCGCGCCGCACCTCTTCCTCGGAGGCGGTCGCGTCGCCTCTCGGAGAGCAAGTGTCACCAGCGCCTCGAAAGTCGCTGGGCGCAGACCAGTCCCGCATCCACATGCTCGGGATCTTTCGCTACGGGTCCATCTTCTGTAGAAGAGAGGCTTCTGGCAGAGGTGATTCCCTCTCTCTGTAATAACAGAACAAGAAAAACGCCATGAATATAATCTTTGGGCGCTCCGCGCGGATTTCTTGGATCCGCGCTGGACCCCTCCCTGGCGCGAGGCGCGCGCCAGGGGCGGCGCCGGAGGCGCCGCCGGGGGTCCCAGCGCGGATCCAAGAACTCCGCGCGGAGCGCCAGAAGTTTGTGTTCATTGTGGCGTGTTCTCTTCTTCGAAATAGGTCATGGCGTTGAAGTCCTTCCAGCAGATGGCGCAGTAGAACCTGTTCCTGCTGGCGTCCACGGCGCCACGCCGCAGCCAGTGGCGCTTGCAGTGGCTGCACACCCTCTGCGGAGCAACGACCTCGCCCGCGGACTGGAAAATCCCCTGCGCGCCCTCGGCCTGCTGCGAGAGCGGGGCGCCGGCGATCGAGCGCTGCAGCAGGGTGGCGTGGCACGGCTTGTCGACCCCACAGTGGCACAGCAGCACCAGCCCCACCTTGCCTCCCTGCACGAGACACTGGAGCACGTGGGCTGCACGCAGAATCTTGCCCCTGGAAAAGGCGTGCCATGCCCACCTGTGGGAGATCAGCATGCCATCACGCCGCATGGCGACCGACTCGGCCAGCTCGCGTGCTGGGAGGTCCACCTCGATGTCGGCTGTGCGCAGCAGCAGCTTCCAAAACTCCTCGAACGCATCACACAGGACGACGTGGTTTGCCCTAACCATGCAATTGCACTCACTTCCGTCGTCTCCTTCTGCATAACACTCCGCGCACTGCCTCGCGGGGCCAATCTTCTCGTACTCGGGGCAGTCCAACACAAACGGGTTGCCCAAGGGAGAATTACGATTGCAGACCACGTTAAGGAAGTCGTCGTCCAGGATCCCGAACTGCCTCCGCGTGAGCTCCGCGACGCCCACACCCCCGGACCAGCGGACAGCGTTCAGCGGGTCGGGCACCAGCTCCTGCTCGGTGTGCGCGAAGCAGCACCCCCCGCCCCACCTGCAAGAACCATCCCTGGCCATGTGTTGGCGACGAGCGCGGCGAGGAAGTGAGAAGGGGCGGGCCTTCTCAGAAGGCTCGGAAGTCGCCTGGCCTTCTGATGAATCTGCGAAGCCTTCGACGAAGACAAGCAAAAACCTGTCAGAAGGGTCGAGGGCTTCTGAGAAGGCCTGCCGCCTTCTGAGAGTGCCTAAGGGAACGAAGAATGACATAAACAAAAACTCGGAAGTCCGCCCGGATTTCTCGCATCGGCGCTGGTCCCCCCTCCCTGGCGCGTCCTCCGGCGCCGCCAGGGGGGGTCCAGCGCGGATCCGGGAACTCCGCGCGGACCGCCGAGTCTGTCTGTTTATGTCATTCTCCGTTCCCTCCGTTCCCTCCTCCTCCTCCTCCTCCTCCTCCTCCTCCTACTCCTCCTCTCCTACCTCCACTCCACCTCCTCCTCCTCCGCCTCCTCCTACCCCTCCACCTCCACTCTCCCTCCTCCTCCTCCTCCTCCTCCTCCTCCTCCTCCTTCTCCTCTTCCCTCGTCCTCCTCCTCCTCCTCCCCCCTCCCACCCTCCTCCTCCCCATCCTCCTCCCCCTCCTCCCCTCCTCCTCCCTTCCTCCATCCTCCTCCTCCTCCTCCGCAATTCCCCCCCTCGCTCGCCGCCGACTGTGGAAGGAGCAGAGCTTCAGGCGCTTCCTCGCGCCCTCCTCCGCGGTCCTTCCCGCCTCGCGCCCTGCCGCGCGCGGGGCCGCGGGCCCCTCGAGCTGCACGGCGGGCTGCAGCGCGGCGCCCTCCGCTGCAGGGCTCATGCTCCCCCGCCTCGCGGGCGGCCGCCGTGCCCGCCAGCGAGGCCGAGCCGGCCTGCGCCAGAATGGCCACGGGAAGTGCGGGGCCAGTTCCTCACCACCACTGCCCTGAGGCAGGACGGGGGAGGAGGGAGGACGGGGGGGTCCTCCTCCTCCTCCTCCTCCTCCTCCTCCTCCTCCTCCAGCTCCTCCTCCACCTCCTCCTCCTCCTCCTCCTCCTCCTCCTCCTCCTCCTCCTCCTCCTCCCCCCTCTCCTATACCGATGGTCGTGGTGGCGGAAAATCAGCCCATCAAGAATGTCTTCTCAAGCGGTCCCCCACACCAGTACCAATCAGGCCCTGCGCCGCTGAAATTCGGAGGTCGGGGGGATGTAAAAGCCCTCGGGGTAGACGTCGTGAAAAGATCACGACGTAGGGGGTCTGGGGTAGGGGCCCCTGGCGCGCGGAGCGCGCCAGGGGCGGCGCCGGAGGCGCTGCCAAGGGAAGCCCGCGCAGATTCAAGAAATCCGCGCGGACTGCCAACAATATTAACCGCGAGCCCCGGATAATGTCTCCCTGGCCGAGTCAGATTTTGTCGGGGGAGAGGGGCGGCAAGACCGAACTTTACAATCGCGGGGGAAAATTACGAATCGAAACTGCTACCTTCTCATGTTGAGTAGCAACATCATCAGCTACGTGTGGCATGGGAGTGGGGTTCTCACCATGCATATGCCGTGTCTCTTCTTAGAGATCTGCTTTTAAGGCGAGCCCTGGGGGGATGTGAGAAGGGTCCGGCCTTCTGAGAAGGCTCGGAAGTCCCCTGGCCTTCGAAACAGTTTCTGATGCCTGCGCCAAAGGCACAAAGAAAACTTCTTGGAGGGCGCGAGGGCTTCTGAGAAGCCCCACTACCTTCCGAGAAGGCCTTTTCCTTCTCACGTCCCCCTCGGGCGCGCCGCCGAATTTGTGTTTTGGGTCATACCTCGGGTCTTCAGCGGCCAACGATCCAGGCACCCCCGTAGCGCCCTCGGCGAGGCGCAGCTGCTGGTAAGCGCCCCGAGGCTAGAAAACCGCCGAGAACCGACAACAGCGTGCGACAACCTCGAACTTCGCGGCGACGACGGTGACGAGCGACGCCCGCGTGGCTCCTGCGTGAGCTCGGCCCCGAGCTGCCGCTGCACCTCGGGGGGGCGCCCCCCCTCCCCATCACCCCTCTTACTACCTCCCCCTCCGTCCTCCTCCTCCTCCCTCCTCCTCCTTCCTCCCCCCACCTCCCTCCACCCTACTCTCCTCCTCCTCCCTCTCCCCTCCTCCCTCCTCCCACCTCCTCCTCCTCCTCCTCCTCCCCCTCCTTCCTCCTCCACCTTTTTTATTCCATCCTCACTCCACCTCCACCTCCACCTCCTCCTCCTCCTCCTCCTCCTCCTCCTCCTCCTCCTCATCTCGATCCTCCTCCTGTCCTCCTCCTTCCTTCCTCCATGTCGCCCTCCTCCGTAACCCCACCCCCCACCCCCACGCCCCTCTCCCCCCCGTCGTCGTCGTCGGCGCTCGCCCTGGAGAGGGACAGCGGGCAGAGGGAGAGAGACAGCGAGGGCAAATGGGGGAGAGAGGGAGAGGGAGGGAGAGGGAAAGAGGGAGGGAGGGAGAGGAGTAGAGAGAGAGGGAAAGAGGAATACATGCAAGTTAACACGTGTTAATGTAGCAGCGGCCCCAGAGACAGGCTTCGCTTAGCGTCCCTACACCATGTTGGCACTTCGCTCACAGGGGTCGCACCTCACAGGGAGCTCCACCTACGTCCCCAGCGACACGTTTCGCAGAATGGCACACCCCTCAGGAGGATCGTGCCCAGCAAATAGCTACATTTGTGGCACCCTAGGAAAATGTCATAACGTTGCCCAGCTCACTTCGAGACACCTCCGACACAAATCGTGGCCCGCAAAACATTCCACGGACGGCCCCGGACACAAAGGTTCGCATCACGCCCCCGCCCATTTCGGTACACCTCTCACACGGCTCGTGGCGCACAGGGATCTCCACCTGCGGCCCCAGAGGCAGGGTTCGCACTGCGCCACCGTCTAGCCATTGCGGCACACCTCATCACGCGGATCGTGCCCACAATGAACTCCACCTCAAGACCTAAAGGTTCGTACAACGCCTCCCCGCTCATGTCAGCACATCCGTCACGCAAATCATGCAAGGAACTCCGTCTGTGGCACCAATGGGCAGCTTCGCATGGCGTTCCCACGCCCATGTCAGAACACGCCTCACAAGGGTCGTGCCCGGAGGTCCACCTGCGGCCTCAGTGGGCGTGTTCGCGCGGGCGCATCCGAATTATTCGGCACACCCTTCACGCAGACCGTGTCCCACAAGGAAATCAGCGCACGCGTGTACGCGTGCTCCGCAGCAGCAGCAGCAGCAGCAAATGTTCCGCCCTGCCCCCTGCGCGCATCGTACGAAGAGAGACCCGCGCTCTGCGCTACACATGTCTGCACAAAGATGGGCGCGTCGCCAGACACATGGCGTTGGTATGGGCGAAACAATTGTGGCGTCCTGGGGCCTTCTCGGGGCGCATCTTAGAGCCTTCTTAAAACGTTTTCAGGACCCCTTGAACCGTCTCATTCGGGCGTACTCGGCCCTGTGAGGCCACTCTGGTCGTCTTTTGGCAACCTCTGGAACTGTTTGAACAGCGGGGGGGGAAGCCTGGAAGGCTCCAGAAGGGGTCAGCAATTTCGTGGGCCAAAGAGTGGGGGACATCTGGGAGAAGCCCGTGGGAGCCCCATGGGTAAAACCGCGCGTGTTTGGAGACAATGACAGATGGCCGCGTAAAGGCCAAGACTAGCATGTGAGATGGCTCGTGGGGCTGGGTAGATGGAGATGCGGACATACAGCATGGAATGCAAATCTGCGTCCGTGCGACGGCGACCGGATGTGGTACACATATTTATACATACATATAGATGGACACCACCAGTCGAGCCAAGCCGAGGCTGCGACGGCAACCGCGGGGGCAGATAGATAGGCAGAAACTGCGCAGACACATCGGTGCGATGGCGTCCGGGGGGGGGGTCATAGATAGATGGATGCACCGCGCCGACCAAGCCAGGCCGACGGTGCGACGGCGAACGCTCTTCGAAAATTGACCAAGACAGAGATCAAGAAAGGGGGGATCCCCCCACTCCAGGAGTGAACTAACTCTTTGGACTCCATGCCGGTAAGCGTATTTTGCTTGTGACCCGAATCTCGCCTCTAGAGAGACCATGAACCCTCGCTTGGTCTGTCAGACGGCATCCTCAATCTCCAGTCTTTCTCCTTATAAATAACTTCTCCCTGTCGCATCCAGAGGCTAGTTTTTAGGGCGGGTCGGGCGTTTCGCCTGAGACTTCCTCATCTCTTATGACCCTGAAAATTTAAACTTGACAACAGTTTCACAGATGGAAGGCGGCTCGTTTTCAAAATGTGGCTCTCGCCTTAGCGCCACGCACATTCTTTGCAAACAAATGCAAGAGCTTCACGGATTGAGGGCGGGTTGTTTTCAAAATGTGGCTCTCGCCTTAGCGCCGCGCACATTCGTTGCAAAACATGTCACGAGCTTCACGAATTGAGGGCGGGTCGTGATCACCATGTGGTTCTGGCTTTAGCGCCAGACACATTCGTTGTAAAAATCACACTAGCTTCACGGATTGAGGGCGGTTTCTTTTTCAAAATGTGGCTCTCGCCTTGGCGCCGTGCATATTCGTTTTGAACTTTTACAGAAGCTTCACGGGCGAGTGGTTTTCAAAATGTGGCTCTCGCCTTAGCGCCGCGCACATTCATTTTCAAAAATTGGAGGAGTTTCACGGATTGAGGGCGGGTGGTTCTCAAAATGTGGCTCTCGCCGTAGCGCCGCGCACATTCGTTTTCAAAACTTGCAAGAGCTTCACGGATTGAGGGCAGTTCCTTCTCAACATATGGTTCTCCCTTTAGCGAAACACACACTCTTGTTAAATCATTGCAAGAGCTTCACGGAATCCCATGATCGACGTACCAGACATGATGTTTTGAAAAGGATTCACGGTTATAGGGAGGGCAACAGTTAGGATGATTCGCGGAGTTGAAGTCCCAGGCATGGCGTTCTGGCGCGATTCAGGATCGTCAAGACGCAACAGTCAGGTTCATCCGTGGCGTTGGATTACAAATAATGTGTTTGCATGTTTCAGGGTCGTCAAACGGTTGTTTTCCAACGAGGCAGGTCCCTCTGTGGAAATGAACCGTTGCAGGGGCCTACGTATGAAGAGGGAACTTGGGGGGAGGGTTTATTCCAACATCGTTGGTGACTCGTGGGTTTACACTGGTCCTCCTCCTCACCCTCCTCTGCCTACGTACTTCTCCGCCGCCATATTCCCCCCTCCGGCTCCGCCTCCCTCATCCCTCCTCGTTCCGACTGTCGCAGTGAGGAGCCAAAAAAAACAGAACAAAAAGGAGGACGAGGGGGGAGGGAGCGGGAGGTACGACGACGGGGAGGAGAGAGCCTGAGGGGGAGGGGAGGGAGTAGGAAGGAGGAGGGGGGAGGGAGGTTCGGAGGAGGGAGTGAGGACCGCGTCTCGTCCACCCTCCTCCT